GTCAAATGCCATGGATGGGGCAGGAGGCTGGATCCCAGCCCTGCTGCAAAGAAAGAGCTGAAACAAAAAAGCATCCAAAAAAAAAAAAAGAAAGGCAGAAATTAAAGGCAGGGTGCAAAGCAGAGAGGGGAATTTGTTTGCTTTGGTCATGAGAGCCAGCTCCTCACAGGCACACTTTGTGCTATTTTCCACTGTTGAGGGTGGAAAAAGCTATCTGTGGAAGTGGAAAAAAGGCTCTCAACCTGCCGAAAGCCATCACTCATCGGCCCGCCGAGATCCTGCTGCAGAGAGGGGCTCCTGCGGGTCATCGCTGCCCCGCGCTCTCCACTTCTGCAAAAAAAGTGAGCGAGGAGGAGGAAAAAAACACGCTTCAGAAAAAGCCCCTTTCAGCCTTAAAACAACCTGTCGGCCTGCACTGAATGAGAGCTCCTGACTGCCGGGGCTGCCGTGGGCGCCCGCCTTTCCAGTGCAACAGGCTTTTTAGCAGGGGATGACCACGCAAGAGCTGCTGGAAAACCCTGCGTCCCAGGAATGCAACCAAAACTGGAGCCAGGAGCTAGCTTTACCCACCGAATATTCTCTTTAGCCATGCTAGATTTTTTTTTTCTTTACAATTAAGATGCCAGTGTTTCAACTCCCCCCCGCAAAACATGCAAGTTTCCAGTGCTTTAAAAATAGCTCCCCAGCTGCAAACACCGACCCCCCACCCAAGCAAGGAGAAAGAAGTAAAACCACATGGATTGACCCAAAAAAGTTACATGGCCTCTTTTAGCATCAGAATCAGCCCTTCACTCTCCCCCACCACGTGTTTTGGAAATTGCAACATCTACCTTGCTTCTTGTCCATGGTTTCCCAGAAATGAAGAACAGCGCCGGCACGCCTGGCAGAAGAGAGGGATGGCGGGGCGGGCTGAAGGAGGGAGGGGAAAAAAAATCCCGCAGGATCCAGCACACGGCACTTCTTGCAAGCACAGATGATTATTTTCAGTGGGAATGCATGGCCCGAAGCGCTCGCCGGCTTCACGCAGCTCCCCTCACCTGGCGTCCCCAGCTCCCGGGGGTCCGCGAGGCTGCGAGCAGCAGCGAAGGCGAGCGGGGGGAGACGGGGAAGGTAGCGCCGCGTTCCCTCATCGGCAGCTGCCGAGGTTGGCCGGTCTCGGCTCCGATTACCCTTGAAAGCTCAACAGTTGTAAAAACTGCAGCGGCGAAATAGCAGATGACGTCAACAGGAAACTGGGGGGGAGCCAGCTCCAGCTCCGGGAGCCACTGAAGCACTGGATTGCTACAGTGCATCCCGGTGGGACGCGTTTTCTTCCGACAAATTAAATCATTCAAGCCTGGCCTGCAGGCAGAGAGGCAGAGCCCGCTCCTGCCTCCTCCGTCCCCCTCCCCAGGCATCCCACCGGAGCGACCCTTGCTCGAGGACAGCCCTGCTGCCACCCAGCATCAGCCGGTCATCAGAGCAGAGGGAAGCCCACGCTCACTGGTTCGGGCGCCGAGGGGGTGCCGGGATAGAAAGAGGTCGCATTTCTTTGTGCTGCAGGTGACACGCTAATTGCTTTGCCGCTAACAACTATTACCACAACAAATAGTAGAAATATTGTTCCATGACAATACCGGCACAGAGCTTAGCAGCTATTCCAGGGTGACAACCGAGACGGCATCTCTGGTGTCAAAATATAAATTGCTGCATGGATTTGGCTGGTAAATAGCAAAGGAGAGAGATGGAGGCAGGGGTGGGGGGGGGTGTGCAGAAATCATTCATTTCTCTGCAAACACGTGCAAGAAAAGCCGTGGCAAAGTATCGCTGCTCTTCCCCTTTCCCTCAAAACCAGCTCGGCAGAAGCCAGTGCTGATGTTCCTGATCAAAGCCGGACCTGGCTTTGACAGGCTGCAGTTTTGATTTCCCCATCAGCCTGGAGGGGAGATACTGTACCAGCTTCTTTACCTTAAACTAATTATAGAAAACATGCCTCCAGTTCGCTCCTGAGCTATTCCCTAACTTGCAGGCTGTGCCGGGCCATACACATTTGCAGGCAGAAAAGTCAGAGGTCAAGGTAAATGCACATACCAACATAATGAGTGACTCTAATTTTAAATAGTGTTTATATAAGCCCCAGAAGGACTGCAGAAGATATTTTCTCAGGCGCATTTCCACTCCCAGGGTATAGTTTCAGGCACAGATCATCAGCACAGAAAGGATGCTGACACAGGAGCTACTATCGCAGATGGCACCGAGAGCTATTGGCACCCGTCCCCGGCACTCCTGGAGAGAATGATGCTGCGTTGTCCTCCTGTCATTAGCCCTCTGGCTTGACAGCTAATTCCCTGACCCAGACATAAGACGCTCCAAGGATCTTTACAGACACCCACAAAGTCAGTGCTGCTTTGGAGCAGAAAGTCCCTAACCCAGCAGGTGGGATGGGAAACACGATTTCCTTTGAATTAGTCCTGTTGGGTTTCGGTGCCCAAGGAGCAGGGGCGGTGTAAAGCAGAGCTTCCCCACATCTCAAAAGCATCAAAAAGAAAGGGGGGGGGGGGAACCAAAAAAAAAAACA